CCTCCACTTGACCCGCAGGCCCCCCCCAAGCAGGCCCTCCCCCCACCTTTCTGTGCATCAACTGACCGCCGCTCGGCCTCGCCGCAACCTGTCGACCCGCAGGCCCCCAGGGCTAACAGCTACAGCCTGCCCTTCATCTTCCTCATCACGGACGGCTGCGTCAATGATGAGAGGGACATCTGCAGGTGCGTGTGTGTGCATGTGTTTGTGTGCGTGTGTGCATGTGAGTGTGTGTGTGTGTTCATGCATGTGGGCGCATGTGGGTGCATGTGGGTGCATGTGGGTGCAGTGCATGTGGATGCGTGCGCGTGCATGTGGGTGCATGTATATGTGGGTGTTTAGGGGCGAGCTGGCTGATTCGCAGCCTCGCGCACCGGCGGCGCGCAGCAGGCCGCCCCCGCGACGCTGTTGCTTTCGCCCCCGCTTGCCAACACGCAAATGGGGGAGCGAGGTCGCTAGCCGACGAGGCGAGAATCGTTGGCAACCCGTCGCCTCCCACACTCCTGCCTCAACCGCCCCGCCCGCCGGGCCCCTGCCCTCCCACTCTCCAGGCCCTATCAGCTCTGCTGCTGCCCTGCTCGTTCACCCCGCGCCACCCCCTGCCCGCTCCCAAACGAAAGCACACATGGCATCCAAATCAGCATGCAAGTCCACATATGGAAACGCTCATCAACTCATGTGATCCTCAACCCCCGACCCTCCAACTTCCCCGCAGCTTCGTGGACGCGGCCGCGAACGGCGAGGGCGGGCCAGACCTCGGGCCGCCCCTCACGACCGCCACCACTGGCTCGGTTTACCACGATGCACAGAGCAACTACAGCAGCGCGCACAGCAGCGCGGGCGGGCCGCCCTCGTCCTACTACAGCGCGGTGTGTGGTCACCGCCGCGTCCCCTTTCGATTCCGGGTGCACTGGGGTCGATGGACGCCTTGGGATTTGCGGGTCTGCGGTCGCAAGCTGGCAGCAAATCACGGAAGGGTTTGAGGTTCTAGGTCTGCGCTGACAACCCCTCCCAATTTGTGCGATTTGACAGCACTCCATCCTCTTCCGCCTCGGCCCCCCGCAGGCCAGCGGCCCTCTGCCGCCGCCGAGCAGCGCCTACTCCGGCCCTGGCGGCCCCCCTCCCCCCGGCTACGCGCCGCCGCAGCCGCCGCCGCCGCCGCCGCCCACCCACAGCGCCGCGCCCGGCGGGCCCAAGCCGCTGGCGCCGCGGATGTTCACATTCGGCATCGGGCCGTACTGCAACCACTACTTTTTGAAGCAGCTGGCGACCATCGGGCGGGGAATGTGCGGGGTCGCCCTCCAGCCGAACGCGATCAAGCCCATGATCGAGCGCATGCTGGTGTCTGCTGCGCTTCCGCTGCTGAGCGATGTGGAGCTGCTGCTGCAGGTGCGTGCGCGCGCGCGCACGTGCGTGCGCGTGTGCATGTGTGTGTGCGTGTGTGTGTGCGTGTGTGTGTGTGTGTGTGTGTGTGTTTGTTTGTCCATGTCGCCTCTGAAAATGTTGTCTGTGCTGCAATGTAGCAGGGCGGTCAGGCATGTCGACCGCCAGCCCATCTTCACAAGCACATCTCCCCCTCGCTCGGCCCCCTCCACACCGCACGCGCACCCACCCCACCCCCCAACGACGCCGCCCCTCGTCACCGGCCCCCGCATCCCGCGTCACCCGCATGTCACCCGCGTGTCACCCGCCGGACGCGCGTCGTCAACCGCCGGCCACAGGGCGTCGAGAGCGTGGAGCTGTTCCCGCCGGTGCTGCCGGACCTGTTCTGCGGGCAGCCGCTGCTGGTCGTCGGAAAGTACACGGGGCAGTGGCCGAGCGTCAGCCAGCTACACGGGCTCTTGCCCACTGGGGAGGGTGAGTGCACGGGTCGGGACTGACCTGTGTTTTACCAATCCCCGCTGTCGTCCCATCCCCAATGTCCAGACGTTACTGTATGCGGTTTGAGGGCGCGGTTGATTTGTTAGCCAATGTGTGCGGGTCAGCGCACTCACTCTCGGCACGTGGACTTGCGGGGCCCACTTCCAGGACCTGCCAAGGAATCGCCTCGCCACACCTCCCCTGCACCTTCCCCCTCGCAACACATGTACACACACACACACACACACACACACACACACACACACACACACGCGTACATACAGCCACAAAAACGCGACTCCCAGACCCTCATCCCACCCAACCCACCCAACCAACCTACCCAACACACCCAAGACGTCTGAACATCCCTCACCACGCCACCCTTAAAAACAACCCTCGCAAACCCACCCCAAAACGACACCCCAGAGTACACCCAGGCGCTGCCAGCCCTGCCCGTGGGCACCCTGCCCATTGATAAGCTCTTCTCCAAGGGCCGCCTCGACCTGCTGACCAGCCAGGCCTGGATGCAGGGCAACCCAGATCACCTCGTGAAGCAGATTATCGACCTGTCCGTAGCCTGCGGTGAGTGTTTTTGTCGTTCAGGGTTTAGGGTTTCCGGTTTAGGGTTTAGGGTTAGGGCCGTCTGGATCTGCTCACCAGCCATGCGTGGATGCTGGGCAACCCCGAGCACCTCGTGAAGCAGTTCGTCGACCTTTCAGTGGCCTGCGGTGGGCGGTTTTGTTGTTGGCGTCGGGGGCGGGGCCTTTCGCTGGCGTTCGGGGAGGGGTTGCTGCGGGCCTTTGGGGGGCCCGCGGCGACGCTGGGAGTAGGGGCGGCCAGGATGAGTGCGAGGGGAGGGAAGGAGGGGCTGAAGCATTGACGTCAAGGGGGCAGCGGGCCCGGGTGGTCGGGTCCCAGCAGGCAGAAATCGGGATCTCAACACATTTGGCAGCTGAGGAGTCGAGGTGACATCACTCTGGCAGTGGCAACAAGACGTTACGCTTGGTGCCCATCCTCTCGCACCACCACACCCTACCCCTCCCAAAAGCCTTGACAGCGGCTGCCCGCCCCGCCCGCCGCGCCGCGGCCGGCACCACTTC